TTCCAGACAAGCAAAGTTCAGCAAGGGCCCTCACAACTGGTAACTGCTGAACACACCCTGAAACCCATCAAACAAGAGACCTTCAGAATCCAGGCCTGAGAACATGAAGCCTGACTTAATGCTACTACCAAACCTTGCAAACTGATTGTTAACTGTGATCAGGCAAGCTCCCAGTCACTGACCTGACTTCAGAGATGTTAAACATGGGCCTAAGTCTGATTTTCCTTCCCAAGATCTTTTGAGTTCCACTGAAAACATGTTAGTACATGATCACTTGCTTCATTGATGCAAGGGACTGATGGTAAATGGAAATTCTACAACAGAGTGCAGAAATCAGACTGGAAATAATTAAAATAACCAAATATCAAGTGCTACCGAGACTTAAAAAAAATAAAAAAATCCACGATTAATACTGGATGCCCACTTTCTATTTGAGGAAAACAATCCTAATACTTTAAAATAATGACTTGCAGCTCAATTTTGCATGCCCAGGGCTAGCACCGCCTCTCTGAAATTAGATGTATCTTACAGTCATGGAAACATTTCCTGATTTGTGCCCAAATTCCTCTAATTTTGTTACCTTCTGGGGTTTAAAATGTTCCTTTCTTTCAAAAATACCATGTGACCCCCTAAGGAGGGTCTATCTTGCCAGACCACCCAGCCAGCTGGGCCACTTATGCAACTCCCAAGATTCATCCTACAGCTGAAGCACACGGACCTTTAGTTTGACTTGGTATTATTTCCTTAGAAAAGAAGGCTGATGTTGAATTTAAAGCAACAAATTACCTACTGGATTAAGAAATGATTGTAATAGGGCTGACGAGATGGCTCGGAGAGTAAAGGCTCTTGCCACCAAAACTGCCGACCTGAATTTAAGCTCTGGAACCTGCATGGTAGAAAAGAACCAATTCCTCCAAGTTATCCTGACCTCGACAAATGCATATGTGTGCGCACGCACACACACCTACACACATAAATGTAAAAGTTAAAAGAAAGAAATTACAACAAAATCATTAAATAAAAAGTCAAGACATTTAAAACTGAAAGTTCTGAAATGAAAGAACACGGCTGCTGGTTGATCCTGTAATACCAAGATCCAATGAGGACCCTCAGAACCTCCCTCCACGAGGCCCCTCCATTTCCTCTGGAAAATGAACACATAGAGGAGGCAAGGCCCCCAGCCTCCCTTCAAATGAGCAGACTGCAAGCCTGGCCTAAAGTAGCAGCTGTGTGCCTTGCAGGTCCCAGCTCCTGCTTGTCTCTGTGATGTGCTCTCTGACTTGAGAAGTCTCAGGAAATGACACTATCCCTCCACCCTTTTGTATTACCTGTAAGCATTCCTTTTAAAAGCATGACATTTTCCTTTATTTTTAAAGGCATTTTAGTCTAGTTCCTACCAGGGTCTCTCCCAGAACGTGCCACAACTGGTCACTGGAGCAGCAAAGCACATTCTGGAGACAGGCAGCAGGATTCAAACCCTGGCTCTGCTTAGAGGGGATGCATGGCCACGCTGATCACTTTCTGTGCCTTGTTTATGTATCTGAAAACTGGGACGAAAAGTAGTTCTTATCTTTCAGGTGTGTAAAAATTAAATTAGTTGGCACAGATCTCTGTGCCCTTTGATCTCTGGCACATGAAGCATTAAAAAATGTTAGCTATTCCTGGCTTTTGGCTGGGTCCTCTACAAGGCCTAGGACAGGGAGGAGACAGCCAGGTTTTAAGCTGGAGGAGCTCAGTCTGCCAAGTACAGACAAGAAAAGGCAGCATGTCAAGTAATGCTCACCAGGAGGATGCATGTTCAGGGACAGGGAACAGAAGCTGGGTGCAGGTCACTGCACATCACAGAACGTGCTCAAAACTGTAACTTCGAAGCAGTGACCACTGGTAAGCCGAGTGCCTGAAGTGCCTCAGCTTCTGACTCTTGCTTCCACACGCACTGTACGGCAGGGGTAGGAGAGCCAGTCGTCGCTGTCAGCAGTAGAACGACTAACCTCCCTGTGAGCCCTACAATGAACCTGCAGGGCCCCTACAATGAACAGACTCTGAGTAGGAGCACTGACATGACCCACAGCAAAACCCAATTCTTTTTCTTTTCCTGGTCTTTTTGAGACAGGGTCTCCCTGTAGCTGGCCTGGATTTCAGAGATCCACCCATCTGCCTTAGCCTCCTGAGTGCTGGGATTAATGTTGTGCACTACCACGCCCGGCTCCAATTCTTCAGGGGTTATTAGCTTGACAAACATGAAATGCAAAAACAGAAAAGTCTTTTTTCATTCTGCTTGCCTGGCCTGCCTGCTCACACCCTGCTCTCTGCCCCTCAATGCTCTCTGGGTACTTGCTAGGTCAAGAGAGGACCCAATTTCAATCTCCACAACACTTCTGGCTGCTTATGGCTGGGATGGCAGAAAGACAAGCCGGAACAGGGCTACAAGGAACTGCAGTGCTGACTTTTTAAAAAGCCTCATAAGCCAAAAGTTTTGAGAGGTAAATTACATCAGACCTTAAGTTCTAAAATCCAGGCATCAGCACAGAAAATAGACCCACTGCAAAGCTGTCTCCTAATTATCTCTCACCAATCCTCCTTCAAGTCCGAGTTTCCGGAGGACTAGCTTCATGATGCTTGTTGCTATAACAAGTCCTCGTGGCTAATAACCACAGCTGCCTTTTTTTAAAAAAGCCATCACTCTGATAAATCAAATACCAAAGCTGTCTGAAAAAATGAAGCTAAATGAAGATATAAATGTCTTAATTCTGATAGATTAAAAAGTATGTGGGTTAAAATAGAAAACTGTAAATTCATAAAATTAAAAAGAAAAATACACATAATTATGATAGTACAATAAAAAAGACCTGCACTCTGAATTTTTAGATACTCGGAGAGTTTTACTTAAAGATTAGCTAAAAACTATAAAATGTTCTGATCAGTTTAATGCAAACAACAAAACATTTCTATCAAGATTTCTAAGGAAAAGAATGCTATTTTCAAGCTGGGCTTGGTGGCGCATGCTTTTAATCCCAGCACTTGGGAGGCAGAGGCAGGTGGATCTCTGTGAGTTCAAGGCTAGTCTGGTCTACATAGTGAGTTCCAGGCCAGCTGGGGCTACAGAGAACCCGGTCTCAAAACTACCAAAAAATAAAGCTATTTTCATAAGTATAAAGTCACCACTACTGGGCTTAAAATCATTTAGCTATCAATTTAAAAAAAAAAAGACACCAGGAATTAAAACAGACCTGCCCTCCTACAGAGGTTTGCTTTGACTAAACAAAAGAGATCACGTGATTGTGGTTGACCTAACACCCACTTGGCTCATGCAAAATGAAACAAGCAATATTTTGTCAATACAGAAGAAACAAAATCAATAAACTACTTTATATAAAAGTCACCTGGCTTCAGTCTCATCATACACCTCTGCAAATTTCGGGGAGAAGTTCCACTTGCTGGATAACCTGGGCTGGGCTTGTCTCCTGGTCCCACAGACCTCCAGATGATCTCCAGGGTAATGTGTCAAGCCAGACATTGCCAAGAACACAAGGTGACAGAGGGGCAAGAAGCTGTGAGAGACCGAGACCGAGGGGAGGAAGCAGGACAGGACATCTGAGGAGAGGCTGTCCGTACCCTCCCACAGGGCAGGCATGCTTGGTGCAAACAACCTCTTTTAAAGGGTCCATGTTTAGATGGCTGAACAAGTCACAACGCCTCTAAGTACAAAGTGCTAAATCTCAAGTCTCTAGGACTTAGTTCCACATTCTTCAGGCGCTCCCTGTCTCCTAACCTACAATCCCGGCACACTCAAAGCTGTGATTAGGAAAAAGACAAGGCCACAGAGAGGGCCGGGGGTTCCAGAATGATATCTGAAGAGAAGCCAGGCAGGTGGTGCATGCCTGCAATCCCAGCATTTGGGAAGTGGAGGAAGCAGGATCAAGAATTCAAGGCCAGCCTCAGCTATAATAAGGAATAGAGAGTTCAGGACCAGCCCTGGCTACATGAGGCTGTCTCACAAAAAACTAAAACCAAAAAAATAAGTTAATTAGAAAAATTAGAACTGGAGGCCAGCAAGATGGCTCAGTGGGTAAAGGCATCTGCTGCTAAATCTGATTATTTGAGTTCAATGCCTGGGACCCACATGGTAGAGAGAAGCAACTCCCAAAAGTTGTTCTCTGACTACGAGTCTTACAGTAGTAGCATGTATACCCACATTCAAACACATACACACAAAATAGGACTTTAAAAAACACCTAGGGGATGAGGAGAAAGCACTCACCATGAAATGCCACGTCTACAGCCTCTGAAGACCCCTGGACCAAGTAACTGCCTTCTGCCCCAAACCAAGGCATGGAGGCTAAGGAACACCTACGTGAGCCGGGATCCGGAAGGGCAGGCTAGTATAGGATGGCCCACCCAGGAGGCACACACAGTGCTCTATCCCACCCTGCATGGGCCCCAGACATCAGTGTCCACTCACCTAATTAACCCCACATAGATCTCTGCCCTGCACAGGCCTCAAGGAGACCAGAGTCCAGGTCCTCCCCATACTGCATGGGACCCTAGACTGGTGCTGGAGACCTGTCTCACCCCACAGGGCCCCATGACCAACAGCCTCTCGTAACACAGGCTTCCGCTAATCCTGCACTACTAGCACCCTGCCCACGCCCACGGACACGCCAGAGACTCGGGTTCACAGACTATCTCGCTCCACACGGACTCTGGAGGCCTGGGTCCAAGACTGCCATCCCTCTCCTGGATTCCACGGACCTGTGTCCACAGGCCTATCTTACCCGCGTGACCTGATACCTGTGTCCACAGCCACTGTCTCCACCCTCCATTCTGAGGCCGGGTCCACGTCCCCGCAGCCCCCCGGGTCCGGCGTCCACGTCCCCGCGCGTCCACGTCCCCGCAGCGCCCCGGTCTCTCTTCGCAGCTTCCCGGGTCCCACAGGGCGGCACCCGCCCGGCAACCGGAGGCCGAAAGTTGACCTTGCGGCCGGGGCCGTCGGGTCTCACCTTCCGCCACGTCCTCGTCCACGGCGCCCTTCACCTGAGAGAAGCACCACTGGAAGTCGTTGCCGCCTGCCAGACAGCCGCCGCCTCCGGCTCCTGCAACACAGCATGAGATCAGGCCGGCCCAGCCCCGCCCCGCCCGGCCCCGCCCGCCCCCCGACTCCCGCGCAGCCCTCACCTGCCATAGTGCGGGCGGGACGCGCCCAGCGGAGCGCGGCTGACCGAGGCGCCCCGGAGCGCTCAGCCCCGGCCGCCGCCGCCGCCGCCGCCGCCCCCGCCGTAGCCACCGCCGGGGAGGGAATTTTTTTCCCTTTTCAAAATGGCGCCCAATGCCCGTCGCGCCGCAGGATGACGTCATCCCCCTCCGCCTCCTCGGACAGCCAGTGCCCCGGGGGCTGCCGGGGGCGTACCGCGCTCCGACTGCGCCTGCGCGGGCTGCCGTGAGGCTCGTTCGGCGCAGCCGCGGGCGGAGGAGGAGCGCAGAGGAGGAGTGTGCGGCCGGCAGGCGGACACAGGAGCCCTCTCGGTCTACCCCGGGGCTGGGGTGAAGGCGCACCCGGCAGACAGCGGCCACCCGCGTCTTCGTGGGCTCCAGCTTCGCCTCGGCTGTCGGTAGCTGCCCCTGTAGCCCCGCCTTTCCCACACCTGAGCCAATGGGAATGCGGAACCTCCGTGGAGCAGCCAATAGAGAGCGTTCAGACGCGGGTAGGCGGGGCCTCCGAGCTGCGCGCCTCACCTGAGCACGTTGCCCCGCCCATCACTCCGGCTCCTGGTCCTCTGTAGCTTTGCAGCATGTCCCTGGAGCCTTGGGGTCCCTTGTAGTCCTGTAGGGACGTAGCCGAACTTGGCTTCCTCTGTGGATGTGTTTCTCTACTAAGAGGGATTATTTACTCCTGGGCGTGTATCCGAAATCACATCTGCTTTCAGAGATGCTGTGAAGTTGGCCGTGAGCGCATCGCATCACTAGAGGGCAGTTCCAACTGGGAGCGTTCTCTCGGGTGTGCGCCTGTGTTGTCCACAGTCCCTGGGTGGTACATGGGAGAGTTAGCACATCTGCCCTGGTGGAGGTTACACTTCAGTGGGCAAGAGACTGTATGAGAACTATGGACAGAGTCAGCTGAAGCAGAGAGGAGAGCGGGGAAGGAGGAAAGGAGATGGGGCAGAATTGGCATCTTTTAAAATATAGTTTATCTATTTTATTTTATGTGTATGAGTGTCTTGCCTACATGTATGTAAGCGCACCACTGTCGGGCAGTGCCCGCGGAGTCAGAAGAGGACCTCGGATCCCCTGGCCCTGGAGTTACGGATGGTTGTTAGCCACCGTGTGGATGCTGGGAACCGACCCTGGATCTTCTGCAAGAGCAACCAATGCTCTTAGCCTCTGAGCCATCTCTCCAGCCCGGAGAATTGGCCTCTTAAGCTGGGCAACTGGGGGACATCTGGGGCAGCAGGCAAAACTGGTGACAACCATTACCAAACAGAACTATTTTTACAACAGCTCCCCCTTCTCCTCCTCCCTCCCTCCTCCCTTCTCCCTTCCTCCTCTCCTCCTCTTCCTCCTCTGCTCCCTCCTCCCCCCCCTCCTCCCTCTTCCTCCTTCAGTTTTTTGAGACAGGGTTTTAGGATGTGGCCTGAGACTGGCACCTATCCAGCGTGACAGTCCTGCCTCCACCTCTCAACTGTGTGGAGGGATGTGTTTACAGGCATGTGCCACCAGGCCTTGGTGGGACAGAGTGTGTAGGGGAGGATAGTCATAGCAGTGGAAGCAAGGAGGTCAGGGCAGGGGGACTCTGGTGAGATGGCTGGCCTTGACCATGAGCTGGAGAGGGTCATGATAAACTTGAGCTTAAACTAGGCAACTGGCTTGCTCTCCTGGGAACAGTTGGTGAGACTGAAGAGGAGTGGCAGGCCCTGTGGTTCAGGCAGGGATGAGGTTGCCGTGGTGGTGTGGTGGTGGCTGGTGAGAGGCAGGAACACGGGATGCAGGGCACGCAGCAGAGAAAGAAGGGGTTTGCACAACTGAACCCCTGGCTCCGGGGCACCTGGAAGGAAGCGTCCAGGCCCAAGAAGAATGCTATATTAGTTACTTTTTGGTTGCCGTGATGAAACACCATGACCAAAAGTGACTTAGGGAAGAAAGGATTTATTTCAGTTTATGGTTCCTGAGGCATAAGAGTCCATTATGGCAGAGAGGATGGTGGTTGTAGCTGGAAGCTGAGAGAGGTCGCATCTCCATTGGCAAGTACAAAGCAGAGCAAACTGGAAGCAGGGTGAGACCATGACCTCTCTAACCCCACAACCAGTGATATGCGTCCTCCAGGAAGGCCGTACCTCCCTAAGGATTCCATGACCTCCCCCAGAAAGCATCACTGGCTGGGGACCAAATGTTCAAATACTTGAGCCTCTGAGGGGTGTTTCTCACTCAAACCACCACAGATGGCATGTACACAGTTAGACCCAGTTGACTGACGGTGCTGTTGATTTCAGCCATGGCCTTACTGATTTTCTGCCTCCAGGGTCTGTTTCTGGTAGAGTGCTTGAGTCTCCGTCTATTAGAACAGGGTTTCTGTTTCTTCTTCTTCTTGTCTGATGCTCTGTTACATGTTGTGTACCTGTAAAGGACTGTTAGGTAATCTTTACAGGTACACAGCATGTACCTGTAAAATGACAGGGAATGGGGGGAAATGACCTTTTACATTATGTAATGAATTGACATTTCCGTTCAGTTCAAGCTGGCTCTATCTGGAATTGGTGTAGCTACCCCCACCTTTGGATTAGTGTTAGTATAGTGTGGTGTACAGTTCTCTATCCTTTTATAGTTAATCTGTGTCTATATTTAAAGTACATTTCTTGGCTGGGGTGTAACTTGGTGGGTAGAGCACTTGTCTAGCATACACAAGGCCCTGGGTTTCCACAGCATCACACACACACACGCACACGCACATGCACACAATTTGTTTCTTGCAGATAGCGTATCTTGCTTTTTAAAGCAGTGTTTCAGGTTCTGTCTTGTAACTAATATATTTAGACCATTGATTATAGTGATTGTTGATGTAGCTGGGTTAGTGTCTGACATATGCACTATCATTTTCTTTTTTTTTCTTTTAAAAATATTTTATTATTTTTAGTTTATGTGTATGTGTGTATTGCCTGCATGTAGGTAAGTGCACCCGGGTCATACAATGCCCTCAGAGGACAGAAGCAGCTGTCGGATCCCCTGGAACTGGAGTTACGGACAGTTGTTAACTGACATGTGGGTGCTGGGATTTGAACCTGGGCCTTCTGCAAGAACAGTCAGTGTTCTTAACTGCTGAGCTATCTCTCCAGCCCCCTGCACTATCATTTTCTATTTGTGACTTTTATTCAGCATTTATGTGGCTCGGTGGTTAAGAGCACTGGCTACTCTTGCAGAGGACCTGGGTTCGAATCCCAGCACCCATATGGCTAACAAATGTCCATAACTCCAGTTCTAGGGGATCCGACACCTTCTTCTGACCTCCACAAGCATTGCACAATGTGGGTGCACTCACACCCATGCAGGCAATACATTTATACACATAAAATAATAAAATAAAATAATTTAAAGAATTATTTTTTGTGGGGGTCTTATTTTGGCTTACAGTTTCAGTCTATGGCAGGGAGG